CAACACAATGATCAGTGCAATGAATAGATAAAAGCAGCGTTGGGGAGAAATACCAGACACGTCTGGTATCCATGAATTATGCAGTCCAGCTCCCAACTTGCTCCTACCGATTTCTCCTTTCACACCAAGTTTCAGACACTCAATAGTAACCTGTAGACAAGCTCAAGCAACACAAATAGATCACAAATGCCAAATGAAAAGAGAGATCGAGACACGGCATTTTTACCCAACAAAGATCAGCTCTAGTGGATCACGAAGGTCACTCTAGCCGGAATCTTTTCCAACTCCTTTTCCTCCTTCCACTAGTTGATTCCTTCCCTTGCGGCAGTGGCATCGAACCGTTACAAACTTCCCGAGGCACACCACAATCCCTTGAGTGCTATTCGGTGATGCCTAGCCATTTAGGATCAAAGAGTCCAAGAGTAACAAATGCAAATCACGAGATCGACAAATATGCACAAGTGCTCAAGGGTGGCTTGCTCTCAATTTAGAATCTCACTCAACCCACAAATGGATTTTGCAAATTGAATCAATCACTCGCTAAGAGAGGGTTGGAGAGCGTCCTCAAGGTTCAAAACGTGTATAGAAGTTAGGGGTATTTAATTTATAGCCCCTTTGAAAAACTAGCCGTTATAAAGCCGTCGTCTGGTATTGCTTGCACACTGCCAACGGTCACTAAGTCAGTGGCGCGTGTGAGGTGTTGGAACTCCCGAAGATTGCCAGAACTCTCGATGAATGAAACTCCAGAGCATAGAGAGGTTGATGTGGCTGACCCAATACCGGACACGTCCGTTATTTTCAGCCACAGCTAGATCAAGTTAGCTCTAGGCACTCTCTCACTCGAACCTCGCATGGGTTGGCTTGAGCACTTATGTATAATCATCTATCAACATGATGCATCCCTCTTAATAGTACGACATACATATTTACTCAAGATCAAAAGAAAATGGAATTTGAGCCGCTTGAGTTGATTTTCTTCAAACTATATGCCAAAGCTTTCAATCTTCATCAAGTGAGGGTGTCAACATATCATCTTTGATTTTGTCCTTGAGCATAGCCATCTTGAGCATGTGACTTGACTCCTTTCAACAAATGTGAGTCAACTTCAAAAGCATCAAGTCACTTCTATCAATTCATCTAAGATTTGATCCTTCACTTCAATGTGACCATCATGGTTTAATTGGTACCTCAACTAAATGCAAGTACTTCTTTCTTCACTCTAGCTTGGTTCCTCGGTTGCCAAGCCGTCACTTGCCCTTCACCCTTGCTTAGTACCTTGAAGCCTTTCCTTGCTATTTTTACCATCTCAAGCCATCAAGTCATACTTTATGTTGAATCATCCTATAAGTTCATAATTCATCATTTCAATGTAGCAAGCTTTAAAAAGTGAGACCATTCCATATGCAATCCCTCATGTCTCGTTAATCAAATTCATCAACGTGCTTGCTTTCACATTATTCATAGAAATCCCACAATGAATAAGCCTTGCATGAAGTTTATTTGTATTGTTGTCTTATGTTTGAACTAGATTGTTTATATAACAACACATCATTTTGGCTTTTATCAAATACCTGTGAGATGACCCATTTCCTGTCTAACACTTAGCAAATCGGTTAGATCTTTAATCACGTTGTCATTCAATCATCTAAAACCCACTAAATGGCTAGATGCACTTTCAGATATTTACAATGGCATGGTTAATTTAAAGTAGCTAGAGACACAAGGTTTTGCTAGATTTAGGACACGTTTGGCACTGGTGCATCGCTCCTCCGTGTAAGCTCCGTGGGTAGCTAGAGCCTGTTTGGTGAAGTAAGACAATGTTTGGCATAGCTCGGCTCTAGCTCCCTACGCTACAGCACTGTGCATCCCTCTACTGCCCTGTAGCGAGGAACCGGACGGCTCCGTCTCCAATCAAAATCAACGCGCAAAAGGGAAGGGGCCAGGGATTTGGGGCTTTGGTGGCTCCTCCATAGTACTGCTACAATACCCGGAGCCAGAGTCACCGGAGCCCCTCCAAATAGGCCCTAAGTTTGTGTGGCACTTCTCCCAAACACGAAAAACGGCTTCAACTTCATGCTTTGTTGGCTAGAAATGCTCCTCCGTACGGGGTGTTGGTGTGGCTTCATCCACTTAGCACTCGGAGCCGATGGAGAAATCGATGCGAGAGCCACACCAAACGAGCTCTTAGCTTATCGAATGATTCTAGTTTCCAACTTCAATAAAAAAGCTCATGCTTATTGAGGTATTAGGGATTCGTGCTATCTTATTTTCATGGATGATGGATCTAAAGAGGTTATCCGACTAGCTGTAGAGGCATAACCTCTAGGGGTGGTGGAAGAGGTTGGTTTAGCGGTGTAGGTGATGAGGGCATAGAGCTGCAATATATTTCGCATGACAATGATGACATGTTGTTTGTAGCCATTGCTCCATGCTGGCTGACAGCTCTAGCTTCCATAACACCGCAATGTCTAAATCACAATCGCTAGTGGCTTCACAAAATGTCAAAAGTGCTTGCACGAGCAGCTAGTGCCTAATTTGATAAAAAGGTGAAAGACCTTGCTAGAACATATGTTATGATAAAAGTTGTAGATGTCTTAGCGCAAATAATAGATAAAGAGGTATAGCGAAAGAGTCTGATAAAAAAACATTAGCCTACACCGCTCTTTTATGATGGATGCAAGTCATAAGATCTTCTTTGCATATATGGTCTATAGATTTTACACAAGGCATACAACAATGTTAGTTCATATTGAGTCTATCTTTAGAGATGAGAACGCCACCTGAGCCGAATTGACCAATGACGGTGGTTGGGAGGATGTAGTGGAAGAGGCAAGAGGAGAGAAACGAAGTTAGAGCATAAAAAATAGATTCCCTTTTCTTATGACCTTCATACAGGGGAATGAGATGAAAAAAATTGCTCCACCAAATGCCCTTTCTCAATCCCATTTCCCTCTATTTTTTCTTAATCCCTCAAATGTCAAAACCTCCCTTTAATCCCTCAAATGGAGGATCTGCCACCATTTTTTCTCAATCCCCATTCCTCCTGGTCCTGTCACTAATGTCATGGGCCCACAAGATGGTGGAGTTGCTAACATCTCTGTCGTGAGCATGTGGCTACCGAACCACCATCGCTCCAGGCGGCAGAAAGTGCAAGCCGTTGTGTCGGGAGGCGAGTGCGCGGGGTCGGGCGAGCACCTACCCCGCGCCATCGAGCCACCGTCGCGTGGGGTAGGTGCTCGGGCCAGCCACGCCTCCGATTTGCCACCGCGTGTGGAGCAAGGAGAGAGAGGAGGAAGAAACGAGATGTGTCGTTGACAGGTGCGTCCCACGTAAATAAAGGAGATGGAGTATTCTCACTCTGCTGCTGTAAGCTTCAATTCAGCTTTTCTAAATCATCACTTATATAAGGTTCCAAAAAAATCACATACAATATTTTTAAGGAAATGGGATATCCAATCCGAAGGAGATGCTCTTAGGTCCAATTTGAATGCAAGAGAGAGGCAAACCTAGAGATGGAAAGCTTCCGTAGAGAACTAAATGGTTTATTAAAATAAGAATCAAATAAATTACTCACTTTAGAAAAAAGTCCAGAATCCTAGGAATTTAAGTTTCAGAAAAAATAAACCATATAGATCGATGGTTTGTACATACGATCCCAGCAGCCTCTATTTAGGGTCTGTTTGGCATAACTTAGCTTCACTAGTAAAGCTTTTTTTTTGAAAAATAGCTTTATGAGTAACTTTCTATGTAAAGCTGAGCTATTTTGGAAAAAACTGTTTGGTAAAACAGTTTCACCAACAGCTTCATGCATGGTTGAGAGAGAGAAATGAGGGAGAGAGCTAGGATAAGATACTTTTTTCAGCTTTATTCGAACTCATGTCTTTATGAGAGGAGGAGAAAAACAATTTTATAGGTGAAACTATTTTAAAAGTAAGTGTTTGACAAATAAAACAACTCACAATAGCCAAACTATTGTAAACCGTGCTAAACATATCCTTATTTGCCAAACTATATTACTTTAAAATATACTAATATTTATTTTTTTTAAATATAGCGCTATTATTTTTCACAACCGTCGAACGGAGTATGTAAGGAGAAAAGGGTATTTGGGAGGAAGAGAGGAGAATTCAAGGCTGCTTGGCTCTTGGCTGGCGAGCGGAGGACGACGGAGCAGAAGCAGTTGGCATGAGCCGCTGGACAGTGGGCTTCATATCTAGACTTATAATTTATAATTTAAATAATATTTTTCTCTCACGCCAAACCAGCCGACGATAGTTTGAGTCAGTGGCTTATAAGCAGCCGAAACGAACAGAGAGAGGACCGGGCGAGAGTTCCAGGGGCTTCCTTGCTTTTTCAGTTGGTTTCCCCTTCCGGCTGCCCCCCCCTTCCGCTCAGGCCTCAGCCCTCAGATCGATCGAATCCAGCAGAGCAGTTCCAGCTCCAAATCCAATACAATCCAACCCCCGTATGCTTATGCTGGACCACGACCCTCCCTCCTGGTGGACACTCGAGATTTCCATCACCAATTTCATATCTTCTTCCTCCGCCAGCGCCGCCGCCGCCGCCCCACACAAGGTTAGCTGCTATCCCCAAATCGATTCATCATCCGTGTCCTTCCTCCCACCTCCTGCTGGCTTCACTTCATTCCATTTCATTTCTTCTTCTACCATGCTGATGCCTGATGCTGCAGCGCGGTGCTTCCAGTCGGTCGCCGCAGCATTCCCTTTCGCACATCAAACTAACCAGGTTGGTACCTTTCGCACATCAAACTAACCAGGTTGGTACTGTACTACTTTCCTTTGCTCGATCGATTACCAGCCTGGCAGCCTCAGCATAACCCCCCCCCCCCTTTCGTATCTGCTGCACTTTCACCAACCTCGGTCTCCTCTCCTGGAGTCCATTGGATTGCTATCGCTATCAATCTCGTCTCATTCCGTTGCTCATGACAGGAGCCAGGCAGGCAATGCACGCACACTTGTTTAGAGCAGAGCTGATCCAGGATGGGCCTCAAGGAGCAGCATCCGCAGCTCGACCAAACTGATGATGCCATCAACTCACCCGCTTCTGTTTCTGACGACCACCACCACACACCGGGCATCCCCCGTGTCTCAAGCTGCAGCACCGACAACGATTCTGGCCTTCCACTTTGCCGAGTCTGTCATTGCGTCGAACCCGATCTGAGAGGCGAGTCCGCTCTCGGATTCTTGGGCATCGCGCCGCCTTCCCCTCCGAGGACTGACACTGACTCCACCACCACGACGTCCACCAGCAAGGATGCCATCACTGGGCCAAAGGATGATGCCGCCAGTGCTCCCAGATTTGTTGAGTTCGTAAGCCCCGAGGGGGAGATATTCGTGTGCGCCACTGACGTCGAATCGGGGCCTCTGCACCAGCAAGACCATCTTGTGGATCTAGGGTGTTCTTGCAACAACGACCTTGCCCTCGCGCATTATGCCTGCGCGTTGAAGTGGTTCATCATCCATGGATCCACCACGTGCGAGATATGTGGAACTGTTGCTGCAAATGTAAGGCCTGACGATTTCAATAAGGTTCTCGCTTCCCTCAAGGATTATGAAGCTCTCAGGGAAAGGACATCCACAGGGGAAATCTCATACTTGCAGCATGGGGCAGATACTGGTGTTGATCCAGACGCCGTCGCGGCGATACGAAGGCAGCGGCTTAGCGAGATCTCATCTTGGTTCAATCCTCACAACTCTCACGTGGCTGTTGCCGAAGGCCACATTGATCAACCTCAGCCGCCACTTAGTCCAACCAATAGTTCTGTTCTGGAGCATAGTGTTGTGGCAGCGACATGGGTACATACAAGATGGAGTTTGGAGAGCACTGGAGTTTTTGTTGCTACCTGCCTAGTTGTCATTATTCTTGCATGGTTGGTTGCTCCACATGTTGGCAAGGTATGTTTCGCTGAAAAGGTTCTCTTCTTATTTACACATCCTCGTGTGAAAATTGCAACTTCTGAACTCAATTGCATACCCCTTCTTATTATAACTGTTAAAAGAGAATTGCTCGGTAGTTCTCCTTTGCAAAACTGTACAAATCATAAAGCGGACAAACATTAAGATAACTACACAACCCTGAAAAAAAGGAGAAAGAATTAGATCCGCCATATGAAAAAAAAAGAGAAATAATTTTATAGATGCGTAGAGCAGGTTTTCCATCTGGTGAAGGTGCTGCACGTGTTAAGTATCATTGACTGAAGGACACTGTTATCTGCTGAAACATACTTGTATAAGTTACTGATCATGTGGCTTTCTTTTTTACCCTTGAGGAACTGCAGTTTAGTAACTATTAGTGTTATTTTAAGTTATGCAATTTGAAGTTTGTTAGATAATAACAGTCATCTGATCCATAGAAGTAACTGTGAGCCTGAATTAGAAAGTTTAGATGCAGCTATCCCTTTGTAGCCTTTGGTCGTTCTTGGACCATATTGAGGGTGCTCACATGCATAGTTATTTCTTGCCTTCTATAAATCTGGCATTTTGTATATATATAATTTTCAGCTAATTAGCAACGATTTCTTGCTCTCTTGAGGAAAACAAAACTAATGAGCTAGGTTGATGTAAAAGAAAGGTTCCCCTATGGATGAAGCATTTGATGTGAAGTATGATTTTGTTTTTGGGCTTCTGTGCAGAAAGCTGCTGTAATCTGTCTTCATATGCTTCTTGGAGGTTTATGCGTATTGACTGTAGTAATATCCCTGAGATTTGTAAGTAGACGGTGATCTTTCATGATATATTTCATTTCCTTTTAGCCAGATTTTTTACCTTTGGCTAAGTAAGTGTTTAGAAAGCGATGGTCTTTTACCATTGCCTGAATGCTAAATGATCCTTTCTGATTGCAGGTTTTCCCGAGAATCCAGTATGGGTCTATGCAGTATTGGGCAATCTTGTTTGTGTCCTGGTTCCTTGTGTTTGGTGTTTGGGCTTCACGAACACGCAGCGCACGCTCCTCATGAGCATATAGTGTATGCATGAGTCATTGCAGCAGACCCGATTGCTTCACTACGGCAGTTTTAGGTACTGCGTCCTTGTGTATATTCACGTGTACTATATAATGCTTGCCTTTTTCCGAGTTGTTCTATATAAGATGTATATGCTTGATTCAGAAAAGATGGAAAACCATGTGCAGCACTCTGGTGTGATTATTTCCCCCATTTGTTTGAGATAAGCAAACTAGGGTAATATTGAATGCTAAAACAGATAAAACTAGCCCATAAGTAGTCAGCACCATGTTTTTTTTAAATGAGTAGTCACCATGTTACAAGAGAAGAAGTTGGTCAAGCTTCAGTTATAGGGTAGTTTGTATTATGTAGTTTGGCGCTGTAGCACTGCCCTTGTGCACATGCCTTGGGTTGCTTCTTATTTATTCATAGAGGATGGGATGAGAAGTGATTTGAAGCATAGCCCTATTATGGTTTCTGATATTTGTTCCTCCATGGAAATGATCCTTGGGCAGATTCACAAGAACTTGAGATGGATGTATCTGTGCCTGACAAGTCGTCTATATGTATAGTGGAATTTGCACATGCCACCACTTAAGATGCAGTTTTCATCAATACCATCAGGCTAGTCGACGACATGTGGGGGTCTAATCCTATATGCCATAGACTTAGGCTGATGGTACAGTAGAAGCTTGACCTTAAAACACCACTCTGGCCCTCCCCTTAGAAATGAAGACACCAATCGGTTGCAGTGGGGGTATTTTGCTTCATTTCCTCCATCCATCAGGTATTCAGATATCAGATTGGGGTATTTTTTATTTATTAATTCAACACATCAGCAGAGCATAAATAGCTTTGATCGTCCCATTGAGCTATCTATACTACACTAGTTTACACAGACACGGCTGGCTGAAAAAACGGCTGATGCTGATTTGTTGTGAGAGAAAAACATTATTATTTCGCTGAAACGGTACGGCTGATAAGTTCAAGTGAACAGGACAATCAACTGATCAACTGCATTGTCCATCCTAGGCTATGGTAGCTCAAATATTATGCACTTTGCTGCACATCTAATCCATTCCAAGTAATACACACTTTGCAGGTTGCAGCTGTTTACAATTGCAAATGGACCCCTTGTTCAAAACCAACTGGTACTAGTATCTATCGCCAGCTTCATTCATTCTATTCTACTTCTTGGCTGAGTGGACTACAATCAGTCTCCTCATCCTCCTCTTCCTATACAAGTAGGAACCCCCTCCCTGCTCCCTGGCATCCATCACCTTTCACCAAGTACTGTTTCAAGAAGGGCCTCCTCCTCCTCCTGCACACCACACACAAGTTCAAGAGATCTTATCTGCCTCGTCTTAACCAAAACAGTATTATGAACTACATACATAAGGTAAAGACCAGGCCACATACCACTAGAGCTGTAAATTCTGTCTCTTCATCTACCGCATCCAGAACTGCAGTGTCTTCCATCAGATCCTGAAAAACGTTCACGGTACGCGTGTAAGTGGTTGCTATTTCCTCTGCTCTAAATACAGACTGGGTTGATAAAGGAAAATGCTAATCACAACACTGCTTACATCCTCAGCAATGCGTAACACACCATCCTTATCCTACACAAACATGTGACAACATTCTCAGACATCATGTACAAACTAAATTGCACCACAAGTTGAAGAACCACCTACTAACCTTGACTGCGACGAACAGAAGAGGATCCACTGGTGTATAAATCATATAGTGTGCACCATCCTGCAGATACAAAGTGTCAGCAATCACAAGCATGCCAATGAAGACCCAAGATTGACTACTTGTCAGTTACTTATTTGTCACTGTACCAGTAGCGGCATGCTACATAGGCCAATTATCCTATGAAGTATGAAGCTAACTAAATCGCATCAACTGTACATCTAAGTTGACAAAAATCAGAATTTCATATTTAATATTACATCCAGGCAGTTTGCTCACCAAATTGAAGCAACAAATCTCTACACCTTCAAAAGGTACACCGTCTCCACCATCACCAGAATCTGCAATCTTTATATGAGATACCAAAGAGGATATCGCAAATAGTAGATTGTACTAGTAAGCAAATAGTTTCTGAAATTGTTGAGATATTCAGCTTGTTCGCTGGTTGGTTTCTGGACTGATAAGCCCGGCTGGTGCTGATTTGTTGTGAGAGAAAAACACTGTATCACGACTGATAAGCCCTGGCTGAAACCAACAGGCAGACTGATTGTTTAGAAAACATTTCATGTTGACTACTACGTTGGCCTAAAAAAATATATTCATCCGCAAATACAGATTTTTTTTTTGTCTTTTCTTAATCATTTTGACTAGATGACAAGATATGTTGGCCTCAGAGATTAAAAAAAAATGGATGCCTGTGATTTTGGTTACCATGAAACTCTTGAATGGCCTCTTCTGGAAAGCAGAAGCCACCCCTTGCTGTATAACAGAATCTGAAACGGAGAGGAAAGACGCTTGTACAGGGATATCGCGATAGAAGCAAAGGAATGAACAGATATATCCTGAGGCGTGTGCACGGTCCTTACCCGCTTTCGACAAAGTGCATATGTACTCTGGCAAGGGCATAGGCAACAGATGGAATGATTTGCTTAAGTTGGTCGTCATCGACCTAAATAAACAGGTAAAAGTTGTGCATCAAACGTATAGGAAAGGAAGAAAGCATTATTCCATTACATTAGGAACCATGGAAAAAGAAATGAATAATCAGTTGAAGGAATGTATATAAGGCAGAGAGGGTGAAGACATACAGCTACCCAGCCACTGAAATTTGTGCTCTTGAGAACCTGCACAGGCCTGGAAGAGTGTCACTTGGAGTCTGCCATGAGTATGAGTGGCAATGGACAAATGGTACGAAAGTGTTGGCCGTGGAGCTTTACATGTCAACGGGGCAGAGAAGCAAGCAGTCGTGGTCCTGCGAGCTCCTGAATACTCTTCGGATAATGCACTCCAAGGGGCGGTTGCTGGTGTCGTCGATCTGCAGAGCACAATGTTGGTTTGGCTTGAGTTATCTGGTACTTAATTTCATTTGTGATGAAAGAAAGAAATATGAGATGAATCCAACCATACCAAGGTGCAGAACGAAAGAAAGGAAGGAGGAGGAGAGGAATGGGATCGGTAGGCGTACGATGGTGACGATGCGCTTGGATGCTGCGGCGATGCACCTGCCCTGGTCATCCAGCACGAAGCCGGCCGGTGGCTTGGGCATGGCGGCGGCCCGGGTGCCCCCAGCGAACCTCCCCTCCTCCCGGTCGTCATAGCCACCGCCGTCGTCGTATTCATAATCATCTTGGTCCAGAGGGACCCTGGGCGGACGGCGCGCGGGTCCGGGGGGCTTATTCCTGGGAGGGGGCCGTGGGCGGGCGCGGTGTTGCTGCTGACGGGGCGGCGCGGCCCGGACGGAGACGGCGCGGCGCGTGAGGCGCAGGGGCAGGGGGGGCTTGGTGGTGTGGACAAGCACTAGCTGCTGCTGCCCCCGCTTGCACAAGACCGGAGGCACGGGAGCGGCGGCCGCCGCCGCCGCCATTTCTTGTTGCCTGGGAGGGGAGCCGGAAAGCTTGGAAGAGAAGAGTGGATGGTGGATGGATAGCGCGCTCGTCCTTCTCTCTCAGCTGAGAGAGAGAGAGAGAAGATCTTTCACGCCCTGCCGTCCCCGTCGCCATGGTGGTGGACATGGACTGGTGGTGGGTTGGAAGACGAAATCGTTATGGGCCTGTCTGGGCCACCTCCGCATGCGGTAATGCAGCCCATGAGGCAGCCCACAACCCCTGCAACCCAGCACCGGCGGCGGGCACACGCTGCTAGCGCTAGCGACTCGCACGGACGAGGAGCTTCCCCCTCACTGCCTCACAGCCGTAGCACCGCCGCCGGACAACCATGGCGTCGTCCAAGCTGCAGCTGCCGGCTGACGACAGCGTCCTCCTGCTCGTCACCCACTCCAATCTCTCCACCTTCGCTGCGGACATCCGCGTCTCGCAACAGGTGGGTGTGGCTCTCATCTTGCCGGGATCGGGATCTCCATCGTCTCTGCTCTGCTAATTGCATCGGATCGCAGACCACCGTCGAGGCGCTCAAGGACAAGCTCTGGCGCAAGACCGGCACCGCCGTCGCCTCCATGCGTCTCCAGCTCCGCGACGACACCGGCGCCAAGATCGCCGACCTCGATGACGACGCCGCGCCCCTCGCGGCCTACGCCCCCTACAACGGCTACCGGATCCATGTTGTTGATCTCGATCCTTCCTCACTCGCCTCGGGTGGCTGGTTGGAAGACACTTCCCTTGTCGACAAGTACAAAATGTCCGATGAAGCATACGATAAGCTCGACAGTAAGTTTAAGTTCCCCGGCTATTCATTCCCTTTTTCTTTCCCAGTCAATGTATGCTTTTGGATATGTCTGTTTGCAACTTGCAGTGCATTAGGCCCAATGCTAATTTTATGATTTCGGTGACAGCTAACTTTCGAAAATTCAAAGAAAAGATGGTCCCGAAGAACTCTCCGTCAGAGGATAAAGAAGTAAATTACTACTTACTGAAGTTTTGGACCGTCTTCTTTCATTTTTCATCTCACTTACTCTATTTCTTCAGCAATCAGAAAAGCATATGGAGGATCTGTGCTCCAAAATCAAGGTCAGTTACTTTGGTTCTTCCCATGTGCATTCCATTAAGTTGCACTAAGACCGGCAAATGGTCCAAAATCAGTGTCAGATTTTTAGTGCTGATGATTTAGCAACCAAAGACACCCTGTCAGAGCCTCCTTTCAATTACATCTTTAGTGGCTGGCACAATCACGATATATATGTACCAATTACCATCCTTGCTATAATTACAAATAGCCTAATTTGAGCTAACAATATATTACCAAATCAGCATGCTAACCTCTTTCATTGCCTGATGTCACTTTCCACTTCCCACTGAACCTTTTTTCCCCAAGGAATATGTGAACATCCTTAGGATTGATTTTAAACTGGTACTCTTCATGAACCATTGTTGCCAACTGCAGCAAGTGATCTAACAAATGTGTCACAAGTGGGAGATAGATGTGAAGTCGAGCCTGGTGCCAAGAGGGGCACTGTAAAATTTGTTGGTAGAGCTGAAGCCCTTGGACGTGGATTCTGGGTTGGACTGCAATATGATGAGCCACTTGGAAAACATGATGGCATGTATGTTGAGTCCTAAACTATGAAAAATAGAAAATGATAAGCTTTTGTGTAGATTTTGTTATTAGTCATTTTTGTTATGTAATGCTAGTGCATTGTGGAGTCCTAAGCCAAGCTAATAATATGAGGAGAAATAGAGGAAGACCGAAATTGATATGGGGGGAGGCAATAAAAAGATATTTGAAGGCTTGGGATATACCTAGAAATCTATGTTTGAATATGAGTACTTGGAAATCAGCTATTGAAGTGCCTGAACCGTGACTTGGGGCTCTTAGTGGGTTTCAACTCTAGCCTACCCTAACTTGCTTGGGACTGAAAGGCTATGTTGTTGTTGTTGTTGTTGTTGTTATGTAATGCTAATTGCTGCTTATGTCATATCCCTTGATTTTGTGATGGGTAACCTGCTATTTTCATTAATAAATGGCAGTAGCTCTTGATAACATTTCCTTGTGCTTCGTGGATACTGCAGGGTGAAAGGCATTCGCTTCTTTGAGTGCCCTCAAGGTCATGGGGCAATTGTGAGGCCAGAAAAAGTAAAAGTATTTTCGTTGCTAGATTCCTAGCTCTTTACCTTGTGTGCTTTGGAGCGAGTTTTGGTTAGATGTTATCTCTGCAGCTGATTGCTGAAATTTAGAGGCGCCTAGTGTTTCTTCAAATATCGTTTGGGAACATGAGGAGTAACACAAACAACCTTTTTGTAGTAGCGGGTCATGTGACATGAGTGTGTGTTTGCATTGTAAGGTATTGAGTTTTTCTAAAGGAACAATTGTGAGCATGTTTCGAGTAAACATCAATTAGTAAATTTGTATTATTGCGCGTTAGGTTCGGATGATGTGCTAAAAAGACACAAGGTTTATACTGGTTCGGGCTGAATGTCCCTACGTCCAGTTCGTGGTTGGTGCTCGTGTTATTTGCACTGAAAGGTTCGTAGTAGGGGTACAAACGGGCGAGAGAGGGGCAGGTCCCAAGTCTTTGATGGAAAGGTCGAACGGGTGCTGAGAGCTTGGATGCTGCTTAACTATGTGGTGTGATGTGTGTGAAATTGATCTGTCCCTTTAGTGGGGTGTCCTGCCTTTCCTTTTGTAGATTAAGGGGAGCTGGGATTACAGATGGGAGAAAGAAGAAAAACCAAAGGACAAGAAGGTCCTTTGAAGGTGTCGGGTTTTTTTTTTCTCTGAGCCAGCTCTGTTGACATGGTAGATGGTGCCAAGGATAGCTCCATGCTGGGCATCTGTCCGTTGATGATGCCACGCTCTGACTTGATCAGCAAGTGGTCACGTCCCATCCCGCCCCGGCGGGGCGGCGCGACGGGCCGGGGTGTTGATCCGCAATCCCATGGGGAGCGGATGGCGTAGTGACTGCACGTCCGTCACTGTAGAGGACGTGAGTCTTCTTTTGGACTGTAGTGGTTGTCGTATGGTTCCGTCAGGATCTAGGTCCGAGGGCCCGTGGCGGCGCCACAACACTGTAGAACAAATGTCAGCGCCTACAACACTGTTTGGGCTCTGACATGCCCGGAAAGGCCTTAAAGCGCCCGCATTGTTATATCCTGACGGTACTTTCCTGCAGGCGTGCAGGGTGTGATCCTTGGTATTGCGGTTGACTTGAGTGTCCTGCCTTATCTGCGCGCGTGAATTCTGAGGGGCGGCGTGCACACGTCGGGCGCGGGCCGACAACCCTCGGACGTCGGGCGGCGGAGCCGACCCTCGGACGTCGGCGCGGCGTGAGTCGCCCTCGGACATCGGGCGAAGGCGGAGTCGCCCTCGGACGTCGGTCGAGTCGTGAGTCGCCCCGGACATCTAAGGAGGTGAGTTCGCCCTTAGATGTCAAGCAGCGGTGAGCCCGACCCTGACGCGTCGGCGAGTGAGTCGCCCTTGGTCGTTAGGCAAGAGGTTTAGTCGCGCTCTTGCCTGTTAGGAAGCATCAACGTTTGATGGTTATTAGCTCCTCCTCTTTGGGTACCCCAGTATTTGGTCCCCGACAGTAGCCCCCGAGCCCCTGGGTGATTCGGATAGAATCGCTCGGGCGGTGTTCTGACTTGTCAGAGGGTGCGCGCGAGCGCACCCGACGGGTGTAGCCCTCGAGCCCCCGGGTGATTCGGATATAATCGCCCGGGGGGTGATTCGACTTGCCAGAGGGTGCACGCGAGCGCACCCGTCGGGTGTAGCCCTCGAGCCCCCGGGTGATTCGGATAGAATCGCTTGGGGGTGTTTCGGACCCTTCGCAGGTATGGCTGTGAGGTTCGGTGGTTGTTTAGTCGGATAACTCAATTGGGATCCTAACACCCCGTTCGTGGGGATCCGGTCAGAGTCCGCCCGGCTGAGACTCGATCGCGGACCGAGACTCTCGTGAAGCTTGCGCGCCTGAGTTTTGGCCAATCGTGGGCCCATCCTTTTTTGTAAGGTTTCCTTGGGACGGCCGTCAAAACCGTTGATGGGCCAGTCCTAAAACTCCTGGGCCTGGTCGTGCTGGAGGAACGCTTTTTGACTCGTATCCTTTTGCTAGCAAAGAGTCCTGGTTTGTTCGGGGAGGCAAAACGTCCGACGCGACTTTGGATGGAAAGGATAGGGATTAGGGGCGCATATCCCGCGTGGTGACGTGGTGGCGAATCGTGGCTGGCGCGGAGATCCAGGCGGACGGTTGTCTTCCTCGCATTCGTCGCCCCTATAAAACCAAAGGGTTCGCCCCCAGGGTTTCGTACATTGCCTCCTTGCCTTTGCATCTACAACCTCCGCCGTCAATCGTCTAAGCCTCCCGCATCCGCATCTCATCCACCATCATGTTCGCATCCACCCACCCTAATCGTTCAATGGAGCCGTGGTGCAGATCCGATATCACCCTTCAGCGCCTGGAGGGCCTCCTTTGTCGCGGCCTTCTCTGCGCGTGGGCCGCCGTCGAGGAGTGGCGGTTGCCCGACGAGGAGGACGCGTCGTCGTCGCCCGATGGCTACGTTGTGTCCTTCGCTCACTTCCACGAGCAGGGATTCGCCGCCCCTGCCCATAAGTTCCTTCAGGGGTTGCTGCATTACTACAAGGTGGAGCTGCAGCACCTTAATCCCAATGGGATCCAGCACATTGCGGCGTTCGTCGCCCTGTGTGAGGGGTTCCTAGGGATTAGTCCCCACTTCGACCTGTGGTGGTATTTCTTTGCCGTCACCCTCCAGAAGAAGCGAGAGAAGAGGCAAGAGTTGAACATGTCGATGGGATGCACCGACATCCAGCTCCGCAACAACCAGGTCAACGAATACCCGTTGATGCATCTGTCGACCTCCAACAAGGGGTGACATTCGCATTGGTTCTACGTTAGGAACGATGCAGCCGCCCCCTAGCCGGAGTTCACCGGACGCCTCATCGAGGTGACCCTGGAATCTTGGAGGAAGTGGGGAGTCCTAGAGAAGGACAATGAGAGAATCCAGGACCATCTCACCGCCATCCGTATCCTGAAGGAGAGGGGCGTGAAGGGGTTGGGGATCATCGGCGCCTACCACATGCGGAGAGTGGCGCCGCTGATGAGGCGCGCGCTTCCCCTGCACATGATGGCGCCCGGGGTGGTGCTTGATGGGACGGCGCTTGTGGGGGTATTAACCCCTATACCCTTATGGCTAAGCTTGGGTCGGCCCGGATCGACGGGTTCGGTCCACCAAAAGACGACGTGCGGCCCGGTTAACCTGATCGGAGTCCCGCGCAAGGAGTCAAGGCGGATTTGACGATCAATCAAGATCCTGGTCGGTTAGAATAGAAATCCTTATCCGGCCACATATGGCAATTGTAACTGGCTAGGATTAGTTTCCAGATCTGTAACCCTGCCCCCCGAACTATATAAGGCGGGCAGGGGACCCCTCTAAAAAACATCTCTCATTGGCATACAGCAATACAAATCAAACGCAGGACGTAGGTATTACGCCTTCTTGGCGGCCGAACCTGGATAAAACCTTGTGTCTGTCTTGCGTCATCGTCTTGTTTGTAGCTTGCGCATCTGTCTATCGACAATCTACTACCTTGGGTATACCCCTAGGTAGACTGCCGACCATATTTCGTCGACAGTGGCGCGTCAGGTAGGGGGTGTGCGTACTGCTTCCCAAGCAAACAAGACGATCATCATCTCCGGCTCCATGGCTACGCCGAACGGCCTCACGTTCACCGTTGGCCAGATCACCTGGACCACCGGCTCCGATGACTTCATCGCCATGACCCCGGAGGAGGCGTGGATTCAGTCTGCGTCGACCACTGCTTCACCTACATCGGCTATGGCTCCGACCATGGTGATACGACTCCGACCACGGTGGATACGGCTCCGACCACGGTGGATACGGCTCCGACCACGGTGGACACGGCTCCGGCCACGATGGATGCGGCTCCGACCACGATGGATCTGGCTCCAACCACGGTACATCTGGCTCCGACCACGCCTGCATCACCTTCAGCCACGCCGACAACTCGTCATCCGTTTCCCCGCTACAAAGGGAGGCAGATCGACAACACCGACCTGCTCGACTCCATCGATCGGGTCGGCACCAAGCTCGCTGAAACCCTCGCTCTGGTAAGTACGATTCAAAGTTAGCCTAATGAGCAGGTAACCGCTCCCCACAACAGATCTACCTGGCCAGCTCGGACCAGTCGTCCTGCACGACTTGGTACAGATCTCGTGGTCACATCTACTCCTCAAGGGTGCTCTGCTCGTCGCCGGCCAGCCTTCGCGACGGGTCTCCGGCTCTCCGAGTACGAAGCCTTGACGGAGAACTACCAAGTCCAGCCCTACGGCCTGCAAAATGCTGCCTCTAGTTACGCCTACGACCTGCAACGCCGCTTGGATCTGTGTCTTATGCACCGACCTCAACCAAAGCCGCGTGACTTCGTCAACATGATCCAGATTGAAGATTATCAAGAAGGATCCGTTCACACGGTCCAAGAGGGCGACCCCAGCTCCTCATCTGGCACCGCATCTAATGCATCTGTCCACACCGAGCTTCAGCATCACGAAGATGAAGGCATCAAGTACGATCTGGATATCCTAGACCAC